AAAAATTCAGACAAACTTAGCTCTCCCTGTTAACTCCCTCCTCCCTTCTTGGGAAAACAAATTAATGCTTTCCTTCTCCTTCTTCTTGAATGGTTCTCCTGCTTTCTCTCACCCAATAAGCTCCTTTCTGATGTTGCCAGGTAGATTTGGAGACGATTCTGTCACATCTTTCTTCTTAGGAATCCTTCAGTCTCGAGAGATCATGGTAACGTGCTGTGAGCTGGAGTGTCCCCTCCAGAGCACGGAGCCTGGGTAAAATCATCATAGGCTTTTACCCAAGCAGTAAATCCCCCCTCTCCACGTTGCTGAAATAGTCCAATGGAAAGGCAAGAGCCAATACAACTGGTTCCAGCGATGTTGCAGGAGTTGACAGAACGACACGAACTGCCTCTGGGACTCCGGCTCCGGATTTTGCCCCAAGGTTAACTCCTGAAGCTTTTTCCATCAGTGGATATAGCCACAAGGCAGTGGGGGTTTGAAATCAGAGTTTTCCTTCTCCTAGATAGGCTGCCTTCCAAGGCTGACAAGCCCCATATCTTATAAACTAGGAATTAGCACTGGAACTGCCTTGGCCCATAAATGAGGGGCAAATCCAGGACCAACAAAGAATGATAACATTTCTGGGTCCCCCCCTCCTCCATTTTGCTTCCATTGCTTTAATTTCAACTGACAGTTCTCTTCCATGTTTCTGGCCAACTCCACTTTCTCACTAGTTGACTGGGTGCTATGATTACCTTCTAGAGAGCAAAGAAATCAATAAGGCCTTTTCTGCAATAAGGGATGGCAAAACCAATTATGTGCAGCTCTGGTGCTTACCTGATGTCAACAGCAGAAATCCATTTCAGAATCCAACAATCTTATTTGACAAAGTATTATGGGTGAGTGGGTTATTATTAACAAATCTAAGCCTTAAACCCAAGTCGTGACGTTATAATCTTTCAACCCAAGAGCACTTGTTCTAGAAGACAAGTGTAGAAAATAAAGATTAATGGGACAATCTTATACTCATTTACTCACAACTAAAGGCCGGTTACAAACTCTTCTGAAGAGTTGTATGCAACAGCAGACTGAGCCTGACAGTATGCTTCTTTCTTTATGTACTTACTTAGCAAATGCATATGCTGTCATGCAGTTCTGCTCCCAGGTAAGATAATATACAAAATAAATCAGAATACAAAATGGGATGTACTTTGAAGATAAATGGTTTATTACACGTAACTGGTATTGCTTTTATGCTTTTAAGGCACTTTGATCCTTTTTATGGAAAAAGTAAATACCAATTCCTTAGAGGAAAAGCCGCAACACAGCAGTGTCCAAAAACAATTTAAGCCTTAAATGTCTGTGAGAATATGTCTTCACCTAGCACTTAATAATAACAATGTAGACTTCATGTGAACCTCTTTTACAATTTTTACTCAATGAGACTTACATAACCACTGTGGACTGTGATCATTCTCCCGTCTTCCTTCATTCAGAGACAGAAGGAACTCAAAGGAACAAGAAACCATTCAGTACCTATTTGGACAGATAGGTGGATTTGAAGGCAACTGTGCGATTCTCTGGCTCCACTTACATGCTAAGCGTAAGATGCTACCTCAGCAGTACCAGCTGGCTGTGGTCACACCAATAAAACCTTTTCCAGTTCTCCCCACTTTGATTTCGTAATTTAAAATTGCAATCACATGATGCATGACCATTGGCAAATCATTTACCTGGCAAGCATGCTAACTGTGGATCGTTTCTTGCTCAGCCAGAGGCTTCTACTTTTTTTTTTTTGTGGATCTTTTAAAATAAATATTGCATGGTTGTGTGTATGAACGATGATCTTATCACAACTTTTTTGAGCTACTGTCACCATGTGACACCATGAGCCTCGTGGCGCAGTGGTTAAAACGCTGTACTGCAGCTAAAACTGTGCTCACGACCTGGGGTTCAAATCCCAGGTAGCCGGCTCAAGGTTGACTCAGCCTTCCATCCTTCCGAGGTCGGTAAAATGAGTACCCAGCTTGCTGGGGGGGGCAATGTGTAGCCTTTATAATTAAAATTGTAAACCGCCCGGAGAGTGCTTGTAGCGCTAGGGGGCGGTATATAAGTCCAATAAATAAATAAATAAATAAATAAATGTGTGTCCTTTTAAAATGTTTTTTTTAATTTTTATTTTTAATTTTTCTGTGGAGTTTGTGTTGTCAAACAGTCTCAACAAGAAGCTCTAGGTTCTTATTGAATTGGAAGGAAATGACTCAGTAACCCAAAAACACATTGGGACACACATCCTGGAATCAATGTCACGTGACCTCAAAGCAGAATAGGAAGGTGATTAAATGTCGTGTAACCACAGAGAACATTTCGCTGGTGTGACTACATCTTGTGTCATAAAAATTGAACAGCATTTGGGGGGGCAAGGAGCTGGTTTCTCATTCACACTTTTAAACAAAACCTTTTAGATTGTGTTGATATTATTTAAAGCATAGATAACAGTCACCAAGATGTTTTTTAATCTGATTTTCAATATCACATTCCACAACAAAAGAAATGCCTGTTATTTCTGTTCAAAAATACACAAAACCCACAAATCAGTTAGTGATTAGACTGTACTTTATGAACATCAGGAGGAAAAACCTCTTTGTTGCTTGTTTTCCAACAATTATGCTTGTGTGAATATTGATAGAGACAACCAGAAAGACGATGCATGTCCCAACTTTATTTATTCTTTAGACTGATTTCATGATATTCAAAGATAAAGAGAGGCAAAACCAACCTGCTAATTATTTCTTTATTGAACTTTCCCTCATCACACATTTGTTTTGTTCTGTTTCCCATAACTTCACAACTGGTAGAAAAGAACAATCTCATGAAAGCTGAGAGTAAGTACAAATCTTTCATTTCTCAAAATGTGTGAACCCCTGTGTTTGCGCAAATCATGTTTTGCTTTGAGTCATAGATGTACATTTATCAATGTCTCAGTAGTACTCCCACAGAAAAGAAAGCCCAAGCATAACATTTCAACAAACAATGAAATCCCTATCTCATTAGCACTCCAAATTAACACAATATCAAGTTTAGATTAAAGATGCACTCTTATATGTCGTTTAGTCGTGTCCGACTCTTTGTGACCCCATGGATCAGAGCACGCTAGGCCCTCCTATCTTCCACTGCCTCCCAGAGTTGTGTCAAATTCATGCTGGTTGCTTCGATGACACTGTCCAACCATCTCATCCTCGGTCGTCCCCTTCTCCTCTTGCATTCACACTTTCCCAACATCAGGGTCTTTTCCAGGGAGTCTTCTCGTCTCATGAGATGGCCAAAGTATTGGAGTCTCAGCTTCAGGATCTGTTCTTCCAGTGAGCACTCAGGTTTTATTTCCTTTAGAATTGATTGGTTTGTTCTCCTTGCAGTCCGGGGGACTCTCAAGAGCCTCCTCCAGCACCACAATTCAAAGACATCAATTCTTCGGCAGTCAGCTTTCTTTATGGTCCAGCTCTCACTTCCATACATCACTACAGAAAAAACCATAGGTTTCACTATTCGGACTTTTGTTGGCAAGGTGATGTTTCTGCTTTTTAAGATGCTGTCAAGGTTTGTCATCACTTTCCTCCCAAGAAGCAGGTGTCTTTTAATTCTGTGGCTACTGTCTCCATCTGCAGTGATCATGGAGCCCAAGAAAGTAAAATCTGTCACTGCCTCCATGTCTTTCCCTTCTGTTTACCAGGAGGTGATGATATTAGTTTTTTGATGTTGAGTTTCAGCCAATTTTTTGCACTCTCCTCTTTCACCCTCATTACGAGGTTCTTTAATTCCTCCTCACTTTCTGCCATCTGAGTGGTATCATCTGCATATTTGAGGTTGTTGATATTTCTTCCGGCAATCTTAATTTCAGTTTGGGATTCCTTTCGCATGATGTATTCTGCATATAAGTTAAATAAGCAGGGAGACAATATACAGCCTTGTCGTAATCCTTTCCCAATTTTAAACCAATTAGTTGTTCCATATCCAGTTCTAACTGTTGCTTCCTGTTCCACATATAGGTTTCTCAGGAGATAGATAAGGTGGTCAGGCACTCCCATTTCTTTAAGGACTTGCCATAGTTTGCTGTGGTCCACACAGTCAAAGGTTTTTGCATAATCAATGAAGCAGAAGTAGATGTTTTTCTGGAACTCTCTGGCTTTCTCCATAATCCAGCCCATGTTAGCAATTTGGTCTCTAGTTCCTCTGCCCCTTCGAAATCCAGCTTGCACTTCTGGAGAAGTAAGGGGAATGAATTTCCAATAGTGAAGGCAAATCAACATTATACAGTATATGAAAAAGAAAAATGTAAGGAAAATGGGGTTCTGTCTCTGAGAGAGGTTTAAGGAAACATATATTGTAATGGTTGGTTCAAATAGCTCTAGACCACCTGCTCACATGAATGAGCTGATGAAAATTGGATAGCCGCCTAGAGTGGTCGAAATGACTAGATAGGCAGGGTATAAATACAATAAATAAATAAAATAAATAAATAAAGAAGATCAAAATGTTTTAATTTAAATTTCCTTAATTTATTCTTTTATACAAAGAAAAAATATACAAAGATTTTTATTTTTTTTAACATTTTTTATTATATAAAATCCATCCATGTTGATTTAACATCATGCCACCTAAGTACAGCTTATATTCATTTGTTAAAACAACTACCATACACATTACGCTCCTAATCTATACAACATCCTTCTAACCATTGATAGAACAAGTCCCATGTTTGACAATATTTTGTATCTTCTTTGATTTTCAGTGTTAGTCTATCCATTTTGGCGCAGTCCAGTATATTTTAATTATTTCTTGATTTGTAGGTGTTCCTTCCTTTTTCCAGTACTGTGCATATATAATCCTCGCGGCTGTTAAAATATGGAGTATTAAATATACATTTTGTTTATCAACACTTTCTGGTATTATACCTAACAGAAAGAGCTCTGGCCTAAAGTCTACATGCTTTATAATTATTTTAACAAGCCATGTATGTATTTTGCTCCAAAACTTTTTGCTTTATCACAAGTCCACCAGAGGTGATAATAGGTTCCAGTTTTTTTAAGACACTTCTAACATTTACTTGGCCTATTAGAATACACCTTAGACAATCTGTCAGAAGATAAATGGCATCTATAAAACATTTTATATAAATTCTCTTTATAGGATGTTGCCATTGTCATCTTATAGTTTCTAGACCACAGCTCTTGCCATTTTTCAAAGTCAATATTGTATCCAAAATTCTGTGCTCATTGAACCATCGTTTCTTTGACCTTTTCGTCCTCCATTTTCTATCTTAGAAGGAATTTATATATTTTCCTAATTAGTTTATCATCTGATATATACAAAGATTTTTCAATATCATATGGTGCCTATAATTATTATTATTGCTTCTTATTTGTTGAATGTATATGCCATCTTTCTATCCAATTGTACTTCGCAACAGTGGCCATGATCCAAGCATGGAGGGAGCCTCACCCTTTCATTTTATGGAGAGCTCCATCCCAAATGAACCACAGAATACCTGTCGTGCTCCAATCAGTTACATAAACCTTACTCATTTACGTCACTACTCTGCTTCCCTTACCATTTTGAGTTTCTCGAGCAAAAGAGATAGCAGGAGTAAATTATTCAGACTTCCCACCAATCTGGGAATAATTCATTGGCCCCAATTCTGTTGATTGTCAGTGGAATATTAAGGCCCTTTGACACATAATGCAGCATCTCACAAGTGCGCAAGGGTTGCCTTTATGCAAGCAGAGATCCCCTTCAGGAACCCTTGACTTCTTTATGCAAAGATGTCCTGGATGATCCCTTGCATACACCCCATAAAAACCAGACTCTTCATATGGTTGCATGAGTGATTTGAGCAAAGATGATTTCAACTATGGGACTGACTTCTAAGTAGACATGTACAGGACTGCACAGTTGAGATGCAATCCTGTGCACCTTACCTAGGAATAAGTGTCAATGGATTAAAGGAGACTTCATTCTAAGAAGACATGCATAGAATTACACTGGAAAACAGTTGAACAACATGAGGGCACTAGGGGATCTCAGAAAGTGAAAAAGAGGATAAAAAGTCTTCCATTAGTTTAAATTAAATACAGTATTTCTAGCATCCCATTCAGGTTAGACCAGTGTAAATATACACCAACAGGATTTTGCCCACTGGAAATTGTTTTAGCTGTTGACTTACCAGTCAACAATGATCTCAGTGAGTCTACTCAAATTGGTAATACCAGCTGTATTTAGGCCTTTGCATTAGTTTTTCAATGAAAATCCTTCCATTTGAGCTAATAATAATTATTCTCATACGCTGTCAAGTCAATTTTGACTTACGGTGACCCTTTCCAGGGTTTTTTGACATAAAGAATACACAGAAGTAGTTTACCATTTCTTTCTTCTGGGGTCATCATGGGACTTGCAGCTTGCCTATGATTACACAAGTTGGTTCTACTCACAGGAGGCACAGAGTGGAATCAAACTCCAACCTCTGGCTCCACAGCCACATAGTTTTATCAATGAGCTATCCAGCCAATAAAGGATATGCTTAATAATGTCTGGGCTCAAACATGTTTTGGACTGAGCACAAATCTATGGGATAGAAACCATGTGAACTATTCCAGGCAGATATTTATTTCCTGTCATTCACACTGCTATTGTTTGTTTCCCTAGAAACTTCTATTTGAGATTTTGTTTTTTTAAAGAGTAGCGAGTACCGTCTACAGCTTGCTGTTATTCAGGATTATGACTGCATCACATAGCTTGTAGGATCTGCTTCTCCTCTTCTCCAAACATATGTGGGAATTAAGCAAAAGAGGCCAATGGGTCTCAGGCACCTTTAAAGAGAAGGAGAGGAAAGATGAGAATTGCAGGAAAGTTGCACTGCCTCACAAACCACCTTTCTTGTCTCTAGATAGGTCTTGATAGGTCTAGATGGTAGAAACTATAACTACTGGATTGCAATGTTATTCATCTTGGCTGTAAGTCATTGCACATTATAAATGGCTTTATAGATTTTGAAGGCTAAAATGAAACAAAGCCAGTAAGTCAAAAAGAAAAAAAATTGGTAAAGGTAAAGGTTAAGGTTCCCCTTGACAATTTTTGTCCAGTCGTGTTCGACCCTAGGGGGCGGTGCTCATCCCCGTTTCTAAGCCATAGAGTCAGCGTTTTGTCCGAAGACAATCTTCCGTGGTCACATGGCCAGCGTGGCTATACATGGAATGCTGTTTACCTTCCCACTGAGGTGGTCCCTATTGATCTACTCGCATTTACATGCTTTTGAACCGCTAGGTTGGCGCGAGCTGGGATAAAGCGATGGGAGCTCACTCCGTCGCGTGGATTTGATCTTACGACTGCTGGTCTTCTGACCCTGCAGCACAGGCTTCTGCGGTTTAGCCCACAGCGCCACCACATCCCACTAGAATGAATGTAAAGAATGTTCATTCTGACTTCTAAAAGTCAATGTACTGGCACTCTAATTTTAGGTGATATTTAGGAATGCAGTGGCCTGTGAAATATTTGTGCTACCATGTAAAAAACTCTTGCCAGGAAAAACAGGCACTCTTTAGATTTTCTTTTGCTTATTTTACAGAAGATTTGCTATTTTGCTCACACTTGTTGTAAGGTATGGATGAGCCTTGGTTTTTTTTTTGATAAATATGTAAATAACAACCAAATCAAGGGTACTTATTCATTTTCACACTATCTGCCGAATAAACATAGAGCACAAAGGCAATCATCGGGCAACGCAGCATCCCAGCAGATTCCTTGTGCTAACATTTGCAGGGTAAAGAATATTAAAATCAAAAGCAATGCACATGCAGGGAAAGTGAAGGGCAAATTAAGAAAAACACTGAGTTGGCACCAGTAGAGAAACAATATACCATTCACCTTAGAAATGAATCTTCCTTACCTTTTCTGCTACAAAGATGTTAATTGAGTCACTGAAGTCTGTAGGGTTTAACGACATGTTTCACAATCCTCCAACATTCTGGTAGTCATGGGGCTGCAGCATGAAGGGACCATATCTGCTCTCCTTCCTTTTTGGAGGGGAATACTATGATCCTTTTTCCAAAACCAAGGAAAACATCATTAAAAATAGAAATAAAGCACACTCCAGACTGCATGTGCTAAGGGGAGGGGCTCCTCCATGTCTTGCCATGGAATATGATCCACTGTGCAGAGACACGGGGTAGGGTTTTCTCAGCTGTAGCACCCCAGTTATGGAATGCCCTCCCCTTAGATGTTTGACTGGTGCCGATATCAATCTCATTGTGGTGTCAAGGCAAGACATGGTTATTTGGTAAGGCCTTCAAGAAATAAGAAGTAGCTTGTGGAGACTTCCTTCTTGTTATCAGTTTAAAGTATGTATATAGTTTTTCATGGTTTAAATGGCTTTAAAATATTGGATTGTTTTTATTGCTTTACTCCACCCTGAGACTAAAAGCTACAGGACAGAATATAAATGTCCTAAATAATAATTAAATAAACAAATTCTAAATAAAATTCCACTCCCAGAACAATCAGAACAAAATATAAATGAAGGATCTGGGGAGGTGTAAAAAAGTCTAGGGAACAGGATGTGCGGGTGGGTTACAGGTAGTGTTACAAACAGAACCAAAGAAAAAGTAATCTGGACATTGGTACAAATCCCAGTAAGATCCTTGCCTGAAGGGGAATTAGATGTATCCAAACTTTCCAACATTCATTCCAATAGAAGCAAAACTGACAAACTATATGTATTTTAAAGCTGCCTTGCTATACAGATGTAATCAAGTCCACTTCATATTCTGAAGGCTGGTGCCTTCCAGACATGGTTTTTAAAAATAACAACACCCATTATCAGTGACCATTGACTTGATGTCCATATTATCTACAGTCCAAAGAAAGCTGTAGTTCAAATTAGGACTTCTTTTGTTGGTTGGCTGGGGGTGCTGGGAATATCCTGATTGGCTAGCATTGTCAGTATTTGCTTCTCATATTTAAGAAGCTTTAGGTTTAAGTTAATCATTTGTATCTAATTAATATAATTTAAATAAAAGTGGCATCAAAAAGCTTTTTAGGTGTGTTCAATTCTGCTTGTGTACTAACAAGTATTGTTGTTATATGCCATGAAGTCACTTCTGATTTATGGTGACTTTCTGAATTAGTGACCTCCAACATGTCCTATCATTAAAAGCCCAGCTCGTGTCTTACAGACGAATGGCTACAGGCTCCTTTATTGGGTCAGTCTCTATGTTCAATCTTCTTTTCCTCACTGACTTCTACTTTTCCCAGCATTTTGGATTGTCTTCTCATGAAATGCCCAAGGTATTTCAGCCCCTACTTCTAGAAAATGTTCAGGCTTAATTAGAGCTAGCAGCCACTTATACGTCCTTCTAATAGTTCATGATAGCTATACATTCTCCTTCAACACTATCTTCTGAATGAAATGATTTTCCCCCATCCACTTACTGTCTAGCTTTCATATTTGTGCACAGTGGCTGAAATCCTGCAGTGTATCGTAGCAAGATGCACTAGAATAAATGTTGGACACTGTATACAGTACTGCAGCCCCACATGCTGCCTCTAATAGGTGTGGCTGGGAGGTACCTTTCTGGGCTGCAGCAGCTGTCAATCTTTCCAGCAGTAATCATTTCCTCCTTCCTTTGATTTCAAAGAGAGACCCTCCTCTCTGCTTTAGAGCCTTTAGTGGTAACTGTTTTGCGGGACCAGGAGCTCTGCTTTGCCACCTGAAACATTGTTATATTGAGGATTAGTCTTAAGGAGATATTAACACAACTGACTCTGCTTTGCCCACTTAAAAACCGTTGCCCCAGGGCAGAGAGGTAGGGTTTATATCTGGCCTTGCTAACTTTAGCTTCTGCATTCTTATTGAATGCAGTCCCATGATCCCTCCCAAACTGGAATTTGACTGTTGACTTTGAAGCCAAGCCTTTCGTGCCAGTTATTTATTTCCTCACATTTCCTCTCTATTTTTAATCCAGGGCCCTTGAGGGTTATCTGAATTTTTGGGCTGCTGCATGGCATGACATGAATATACTCATTCCTAGAACACATTCTTGCTTGAAGAACACCAATCATGCTAGTGAAATGCCAGTTGGTTCTTCAGCTTCAGTTGTGGCACCCTGAAACTGGAGATATTTATTCACAATTCTGTCAAAAAATTCAAGACTTTGTTATAGTTTAATTGTGAAGGAAAATCAAGATCCTTGTTACTGCTGTTGTTGTGACACGGTTACTCTCTTCAACCTGAAATGTATGCTTGAAGTCTGGATAGGAAAAAATGATTTTTTTTGTTGTTGTTCATATAAGGAGGTGGAAGAGCCAGGGAGACAGAGAAACACCCCATTCATTTAGGACCAGGACACTAGGAAGTCTACTAGCTGAACTCCTGACAGAATGAGAAAGATTTCAATTTCAGATACTGTACACAGCTAAAAACAAACCCTAGCATTACATTCCTATGCAAGTATGTAAGAGACATAGCTAGCACAGCATGTAAGGATATTTTTGTTGAATCACCTCTGCTATGTTTTGGAAGCTCAACAGTTTAGCTGGCAAGTGTTAAGGTCAATTATTGTTCAGCCAAAGAAAATCAACGGCAGGTCAAGGATACTGCTGCTAATTTGGACAAAATAGATATTCACTAATGTAAATTAACAGTAGATAATTTCAGAGACTTTGGTGAATTTACATAGGTTTGAAACATAAGGCTATTTCTACAATACCAAATGAAGACGCAGAGAAAGAAAACTCAAGTATTTGATAATTAGAGCCATGCTTACTAGATTATACGAAAGGTCTGCAGATACAAACACACACGCAAAGGATCCTCTGACGTACATATGGACTTTGGCTAAGATAGCTGTTCTGTGCTATTTAACATTATTGGGCAAGGCTACAATGCCGCCTCATTGGCTACATCCTTAGTTCTTGAAGGAAATACAGTAACTATCTCCATATGACCTGTATGTTGGGGTAAAACAGTTTGCTTTTCACAGGGCCCTTTCCTTTATCCTAAAACACTTAGGCCTAGAGAGGTCATTCTAGGGAAATCTCCAGCACTAGAAAGGTTCCTTAACTAACCTACCTCCCTTCACACATTCTCCTGCCGAACATGATAGAAATATTTAATATTACCTATGCAAACACGCCTTTTCTTGTGATGGAATAGCTGAGTGGCAAACAGTGAGAAGAACCAGTGGTGTAACTCAGCACAAGATAGCTTCCTATGTTCATGTTGTTCGGAACAGATGAGGCTTTGTGGGCAAAGGTCTGACTGCACTGTGATTAAAGCAGATAATGCCAGCTAAAATTGCCTTGTGGGTAAAATTCAGCTTGCAAACTGCCCATTGATTATCCCAAATGTCATTGGATGCTCAAGATTCAAACTAGATTAATTATGCAAAACTCTTTTTTTAAAAAGGAGGGGGATACCACTTCTGATCTATTTCATTTATGCAAATGAGTTGTTCCCTATGTTAGTAACATAGTTGTCTCACACATGGATGTTCTAGCTAGTTCTTCAGGCCAAGCAAAGAGCCAGAATGAGTCCCTACAGATCTGTAGGAACAGTTCTGACATTTTCAGGGACACTGCTTAGATGTGCTGGACTTAGACCCTCAATACTGAATTTTGATCCAGCAGCAAAAGGCCTTCAATATTACAACTTTCTACACCTGATATCTCAAAATCCACAGCACCAGTGCCTGCAGTTCCCATGCTTGATATGTCTAAGACAATGGTGCCCTTGGGTAACCAAGGTGTTCTTGAACTGCAGTTCCCTGAAAGCCAGGCCAGCACAGCTGGTGGCAAAGGCTTCTGGGAACTACAGTTCAAGAACACCTGGATTACCCAACGTTGGGAACCGCTGGTCTAAGAGGCCATTGTCCTTGTCAGTCCCCAAGCCCTCAGATGCCACTAAATCATCCATATGCACAAAAAGTAGGACATCAGTTTCCCTGGAAAGAGAATGTGGTCTGGAAGAAATTGTCAGGTTCAGCCTTAGTTAGCAATACAAATGTAAATTGTGCCATAGTTCACCTTCATGTACTAAATGTGAAACCAGACTCATTTTTCCCCCTCACAACAGGAAGATAACATTTTTAATGGTCGCTGAGACAATTGGTAGTTGTGAAGGAATTTTTGGTGCAATTGCACAAAGCCCAAACCAACATTGTTGTCATGTGAGGTTTTGTTAAAGTAGAAGAAATAAATGGGTTGCTTGAATCTTTATGAGCTGCGGAGGCTAAGCACTTTTCTGTACTAGCTTTTCTCCAGCCAAATATGAACCTTGAGTTTCAAAAGAAGGCAATGAGAGTGGAGGAAAATACAGATTATTTTGAGGGGGTTTTTTTGTCTGAAATGTTAGGAAGATCTAGTATTAAGGCACAATGAAATGTGCTCCCTGCTTTTGCAACTATCTAATTTGATCAATTGTGGTTTTCACAGTTCAATATGGGGCAGTATTTTTGCTGACATACATAAAAGAATTAGACACATAAGAGAGAATCAGTTTTTAATTTTCCTTGGGTATCACGTTTCCTCTTTTATAAAATAATTCAAGGTGATACTTAGACAAAATTTTATCTGAGAGAAACAAATTGGGAAGAATGCAGAACTTTGAATGCTGCTGCAAGTCTAATTAGTGAAGACTTTACTCAGAGGACTCAGATACCTAATTGATTCTATATTAATATTAATGGGCACAGTTCTTTGTTGCATTCAACATTATGCTATTGGTTATCTTTAAAAGAAAAGCTAGAAGAAACTAGGATACTTTCCTGTAGATTGACACCTTTACGCCAGCAGCATTTTGTTGTTTATTCTTTCAAATTGGCCCCACTTGTATTTTCAGTCAGGTTCCCCCAACCTAGCATTTTCCAGACTCCGTGGACCACAAATTTCACATTGCAGTTGCTAGCAGGCACTGGTAGGATTTGCAGTTCCAGCACATCCAGGAAAATAAAGCCCAGGTTTTAACACGCTGTTGAATTAAGCTTCGTTGTTGATCTGCTGCTTTCTTTCCTTCTCCCAGCCACTCAGCAGCATTTGTGCTGTTCACTTCAAATGCCACAGTTTGTTTATCTAGATGGGAAAAGAGAATAAGAACTGATGTGTTCATTTCAGTTAGAGGACAGCCATCCACTGCAAAATGGAAGTTCAGCAGTAAGTGGCTACAAAGATTAGCTGGTAAACTGAAGGTGGTGAATTTATAATCAGAATTCTTTTGAGTGCCTCTGAACATAGGGAGAACATTTCTTTGGTTCTACTGAATAGCTGCATCTTCTCCCTCTTCCCTCCACTCGGGATCAAGAAGTATGGTTAAAAGGGGAAAAGAAATGTTGCTGCATAAATGGAAAAAGAGAGATGGGGGTGGGGGATATTCTTATATTCCTTGCATTGCCATGGCTCTGCTTATATGAGCTACATGGTAATAGCTTTGAATATCTCCATCCATATTTTTATAACTGAAATTCCTGGCTCTCCTCTTCAGTTTCCCCATCCCACACATTCTCATCTTCTATGCAAAGGTCTGATATCCTCGCTCCCTCTCTCACACATACACCCTCATTCCACACTGCATGTTCACCATGGACTGTTTCTGACTACTCCCATGTGGCAGCCAGAGAATCTATTTGTTGTCACTGCTACAATGATCAGCTCCTTCCAGTGACTCAAATTCTTTCCATGCCTTCTCTGCTAGGCACAGTCCTCACAAAACAAATAAACCCAAACTATTAAAACTGCGATTATTTGGGTTTCAAAATTCTACATGCTCTAGGTGGCACTCTTGATTAGAATATAAGAGCCCCATCACATTTGAACAAACAGAATGGCCACTTCACATACTGGACATTGAATAACTGAACTTTGGGGCAGGAGGATATATCTTTGTTTCTATATATACTAACTAGCAAACTATATCACTGCTGGTTGTTGTGGGTTTTTCGGGCTCTTTGGCCGTGTTCTGAAGGATGTTCTTCCGAACGTTTCGCCAGTCTCTGTGGCCGGCATCTTCAGAGTGCTGTCCTCTGAAGATGCCGGCCACAGACACTGGCGAAACGTTAGGAAGAACTTTCAGAACATGGCCAAAGAGCCCGAAAAACCCAAGATAACCATTAGATCCCGGCCGTGAAAGCCTTCGCGAATATATATTACTGCTATTTTTGATACTCTTTTTCAAGGCTGGAAATGTCTAAGGTCCTTTCCTCTTCCCTGGTAAATAGTAAGTAAAAGGTACTGTTGGCATGGTGACAAGGGTAGCATCTTTCTTTGCTAATTTCCTCTTTACTGCCCTCCGGTTATAAAGAATACAGTCATAGGGATTTCTGCTACATTCTCTTTCCATTCTCCAAACATGCAACATTCTGATTTTTGGTAGATAATGAGCTGGCTGGATAGCTCAGTGGACTAAGTATCTGGCTGTGGAGCCAAAGGTTGGGAGTTCATTTCTTTCCCAGAAGAGCCAGCTTGTGTAGCCTTGGGCAAGCTGCACAATTCCAAGGCACTGCCAGAAGCAGATATTAGTAAACTACTATTAGGTACAGTACTCTTTACCTAGAAAACCCTGAAAAGGGTTGCCATAAGTCAGAATTGACTTGATAGCACACAATTATCATTGTTGGCTGGATAGCTCAGTGAGTTATCTAACTAGCTAATGGTAAATACCATTCATAAGTGCTCTCTCTACTTATAATACCCTAAAATGGATTGCCGTAAGTCAGGATTGACTTAAGGGCACATTATTATTTATTTCCCCCGCAATCCTCTGCCTTTGAAGCTGAATTGGGAAAGTGTTTCATTGCCAGTTTTGTGGGTTCAGAAGCATCATAATTGTACTTAGAAGACAGGAACACATAATGAAAATCAGATATCCATGATGAAGAACAGAGGGCTAAAACAGAAAATAGCAGAGGAAAAATCTACAAAAGAATGGACCTCCTGGACAGTAAAAAATGTGACACGTCAGGGTGAATTTAGTGATCTCAACATGAAAACACTGATTCGACATGACACCTACACATGCTACAATATTCCCAGAGCATTCCTACACACACCTTTCTGTCTCCCTGTCAGGGGCTGCTCTTTATATTAGATTTGTGTAGGATTGCTCTGTTTTGGTTCAGTTCCAGCATGTGTGATCCTGGGATCAAACCAAAGCTAATTAGGGCAGCTCTGATGAACTATGCCTTTAAGAAAAAAAGTTTAAAAATTGGAAGATTCCTTTCAGAATGAGGAGGAGGGGGAGACAACAGGGAACAAGGAGGTGGTTTTCCTCCCTCCCCCCTTTCCCTTTAAAGGGAGACAGGTCAAATTGAGTTGCTTGAGGCATGTCATGTGGATGCAAGGATCATACCAAATGACAAACTGTACCTTTACGAGACTTTAAGCTACCGTATTTGGCCCACACCAATGTAGCTGTCTAGCATCATAATTGTACTTAGAAGACAGGAACACATAATGAAAATCAGATATCCATGATGAAGAACAGAGGGCTAAAACAGAAAATAGCAGAGGAAAAATCTACAAAAGAATGGACCTCCTGGACAGTAAAAAAATGTGACAAGTCAGGGTGAATTTAGTGATCTCAACACAAAATCGCTGATTCAACATGGCACCTACACATGCTAAAATATCAAATGAATAAATTGAAACCTAAAGAAGCAATTATATATATTATCAAAACAACACGACACAATGGCTGTAAAATGGTATAACATATCATATGGCCTGAAAAAACATCTTCAGTTTTCTTGTCTGTTAAGCCGTATCACCTTTATCTGGATTTAGAAAGTCTTAGTCAACAATGTTATTGTGACATGGATTGGCCTCTCAAAGATTTTGTTTTCAAGTTCCCAGAAAGCTGTTAAGTTGACTTCCTCCTTCACTGAGTTTGACCGGGAAGTTAACTTTTTTCAAGGTCTGCAACTTGCTCATGGAAATCAATGAAACAACAAGTTTGGCCTTGGAGTTCAAAACGAAGTAGGGCAAAGGCTAATAGAGTTTTGTCAAGAGAACAAGGTGGTCATCAATAAAAAACACTCTTTTCCAACACAAGAGGCGATTCTACACATGAAAATCACCAGATGGGCAATATCGTCATCAGATTGATTATATTCTCTGCAGACAAAGATGGAGAAGCTCTATACAATCAGCAAAAACAAGACCTGGAGCTGATTGTGGCTCTGATTATCAGCTTCTCATAGCAAAATTCAAGCTTAAACTGAAGAGAGTAGGAAAAAACACTGGGCTAGTCAGGTATAATCTAAACCAAATCCCTTATGAATACACAGTGGAAGTGAAAAGCAGATTTAAGGAACTCGATTTGGTGGACAGAGTGCCTGAAGAACTTTGGATAGAGGCTCGTAACTTTGTACAGGAGGCAGCAACAAAAACCATCCCAAAGAAAAGGAAATGCAAGAAAGCTGTCCAACAAGGCCTTAGAAATAGCAGAGAAGAGAAGGGAAACAAAATGGAAAGGAGAAAGGGACAGTTACAGAAAATTGAATGCAGACTTCCAAAGAATAGCAAGGAGAGACAAGAGGGCCTTCTTAAATGAACAATGGAAAGAAATAGAGGAAAATAATAGAAAAGGAAAAACCAGAGATTGGTTCAGGAAAATTGGAGATACATTTTGTGCAAAGATGGACATGATAAAGGACAAAAATGAGAGGGACCTAACATAATATGAAGACATCAAGAACAGGTGGCAAGAATACACAGAGGAATTATACCAGAAAGATTTGGATATCCCAGACAACGCAGATAATGTGGTTGCTGACCTTGAGCCAGACATCCTGGAGAGTGAAGTCAAGTGGGCCTTAGAAAGCTTGTCTAACAACAAGGCCAGTGGAGGTGATGGCATTCCAGTGGAACTATTTAAAATCTTAAAAGATGAAGCTGTTAAAGTGCTATATTCAATAGGCCAGCAAATTTGGAAAACTCAACAGTGCATCAGATCCCAAAGAAGGGTAGTGCCAAAGAGTGCTCCAACTACTGTACAATCACACTCATTTCCCACGCTAGCAAGGTTATACTCATAAGCCTCCAAGGTAGGCTTCAGCAGTATGTGGACCGAGAACTCCCAGAGGTACAAGCTGGATTTCGAAGGGGCAGAGGAACTAGAGACCACCTTATCTATATCCTGAGAAACCTATACGTGGGACAGGAAGCAACAGTTAGAAATGGATATGGAACAACTGATCGGTTCAAAATTGGAAAAGGAGTACGACAACGCTGTATATTGTCCCCCGGCTTGTTTAACTTATATGCAGAATACATCATGCGAAAGGCCGAACTGGAGGAATCCCAAACTGGAATTAAGACTGCTGGAAGAAATATCAACAGCCTCCGATATGCAGATGATACCACGCTGATGGCAGAAAGTGAGGAGGAATTAAGGAACCTTGTAATGAGGGTGAAAGAGAGTGCAGAAAATGGTGTGAAGCTCAACATCAAAAAAACTAAGATCATGGCCACTGGTCCCATCACCTCCTGGGAAATAGAAGGGGAAGATATGGAGGCAGTAACAGATTTGACTTTCTTGGGCTCCATGATCACTGCAGATGCTAACAGCAGCCATGAAATTAAAAGACACCTCCTTCTTGAGAGGAAAGCGATGACAAACCTCGACAGCATCTTAAAAAGCAGGGACATTGCCTTGCCGACAAAAGTCTGCATAGTCAAAGCTATAGTTTTTCCTGTAGTGATGTATGGAAGTGGGAGCTGGACCATAAAGAAAGCTGACTGCCGCAGAATTGATGCTTTTGAATTGTGGTGCTGGAGGAGGCTCTTGAGAGTCACCTGGACTGCAAGGAGAACAAAATTATCCATTCTAAAGAAAATCAAGCTTTAGTGATCACTGGAAGGACAGATCCTGAAGCTGAGGCTCCAATACTTTGGACATCTCATGAGAACAGAAGACTCCCTGGCGAAGACGCTGGTGTTAGGAAAGTGTGAAGGCAGGAGGAGAAGGTGACGACACTGGATGAGATGGTTGGACAGCTTCATCGAAGCAACCCACATGAATGTGACCCAATTCCGGGAGGCAGTGGAAGACAGGAGGGCCTGGCGTGCTCTGGTCC